ATTAAAAAAACAATAATATTGTAAATTATTAACGCAGTTTAAAATAGCTGTTTTCTATTGTAATATATTTTAAAATGTCATTTATTCCTGTGATCAAAGCTGAATTTTTTCAGCATCATTACTCCAGTCTTCAGTGTCACATGATCCTTCAGAAATCATTCTAATATGCTGATTTGCTGCTCAAGAAACATTTTTTTTATTCATATCGATGTTGAGAACAGTTGTGCTGCATCATTTTTTTTTGTGTGAAAACTGTGATAAATAGTACGATAAAAAAAACAGCATTAATCTGAAATATAGACCTTTCTGACATTATAAAAAAAAAAAAATTTCTGTCATTTTTGATCAATTTAATGCATCCCTATTGAATAAAACTATTAATTTCTTTCCAACCTTCTGATCAATTACTTCATGTTTGGCTTTTGAGATCAAATTAGGAACTTTTTTAGGGAACTAAAAAAGAAACGTTTCAAAACATTGCAATGGAGTATCACTTGATGATAGAATCAGTTAGATGTATTTAGATGTGTCTAATATTGTATATATTTAGTGAACTGAATTTAATAAAAAATTATATTCTTTTTTTTTTCGCAATTACATTGTTGTACATGATGTTTAAGGAAAATACAAGCTGCACAATGTCTGCTTTTAAACCCTCCAAAACCTAATCCCAAGTAGAAAATAATCTAATGAAACCATTATGTTTCCATTATGGTACAGCACCATTAGACAGACATGGATGTCTTAAGTGCCGGTCAGAGTACCAATCCACATGTCCTCCCCTATTGTTATGTTGACTGTGACACTACAGACAGCTGCTGTAGGTTTAGGCACTTGGAAAAGAGGTAGAGTCAGAGGTGAGTCACATGCATCCCTCTGATCCTCCTTTCCTGAGGAGCACAGTGGTGGTGAGATGCACATCATTAGTGCAGGAAATGAGTGATCCAGCTGGGCTGAGGCTCAGGAGAGTGGCCTGTCAATCAAACCATGGGGCATGGGTTCAAAGAGGGGCAATGGACAATTGTACAGCTCATGCAGCTAAACATTATCCAGGTAGAAAGTAAGTGAGATATCAAGTAGTAAGCTGTGCCTCAAGACATTTATAGCTTATAAATCAATACCTATTCAAGGATCTCAGTGCACTAAAACAAGCCCTGAGCTCATCGTGGAACATCTTCCTTGGTAGTACAATGAATCTAGCCAGCTAAAAGGGTCTCAGATTAAGCCCTTAAAGGGATAGCTCACCCAAAAAAAATGCAAATTGTGTAATTTTCTCAACCTCAAGTTGTTCCAAACCTGTATGGGTTTCTTTCTTCTGTTGAGTACAAAAGAAGATATTTTGAAGAATGCTGGTAACCAAACAGTTGACGGTAGCCATTGACTTCCATAGAAGAAAGAAGCTCATAAAGGTTTGGAACAACTTGAGGTTAAGTAAACGACGATGATAGAATTTTCCATTTTTGGTGAACTGTCCCTTTAAATGACAGTTTTACGTGTCCACAGGAATATTCTGATCAGAAAAATGGTCATGTATATATCATATAAATGATGGACCAAAACTGGACACAATATTTTAAAAAATCTGTAAAAGTCAATTTGGCATATTCCTTAATCAGACATTCGGTTCACGTAAACGCTTTATTCGGAATAAACGCTGTAATTAAATTATCATGTGACAGCTGTCTTTTTCAGACTTCCGTAACCTGGAATATTTGTTGAAACTGGTTATGATAATCAGGTCAGTGTTATTTTAGGATCACAGGGATACTATTATAGTTCTAATTAATATTTAGAATTAGTTTTAATTTTTAGATTCGCTTTCATTTTATTTTAGCTAAAAGTTTTAGTAATTTTGCTGTATGTTTCTGTCATTTTTGTTAATGTCTATGTAGCTTTTATTCATTTTTATTTTTAGTTATTTTAGTACATCAAATTAAACAATGCGGCAAATAGCTGAAATAAAATAAGCTTTATTTTATTTGATTTTATTTCAGTAAATGTTTCATTTATTTCAAGCAACGGAAATATTATTTTTTTGTGTCTACATGATGCTTATATTAAAAAAATTCAGATTAAATTTTGACAATTCTTAATTGCAAGTGAGCACAGTCATTATCTTAGCCGAAAAAAAAGGTCTGAGCTCTGCAACCTCCCTGGTATAAACTACTGAGCTGTGCAATGGTGTCCAGTCAGGGTGCTTCCATAGTGCACAGTGCAGCAAATGTGTTTCCATTCAGCAGATCTGATAATAAGAGACAGGACCTGACCCATCTTTTGAGATCCAGGCAGCATTACATTAGGGGCAAGATGACATGACAGATGCTCACAAACTGTATATCATACATATGCATCCTAATCAAAACCAATTTTGAAATTCTTGTTTTTCTTATAGTGTTTGTCTGAGAATTATTACGATATGAGAAACAGAGTAGATGTTGATACTTACTGCTGACTTTCATGTTGCCAAAGGCTGAAGGCTGCAGCACTGGCTTGCAGCTCTCCGCAAATGAGGAGGTCCTAGGCCGGCCTGACATCTCCAAGATGCCGTTACTCTTTAACCACGATCCTTATAGGCTCCTTTAACACAAGAGTAAATATCTGGGGTCCAAGTCTGCTTTTGTTTAAGCAAATGAAGGGAAACTCCCAAGATATCTCTTCTAATGCAGTGAATTCAGAGGTGGTCAGCTGATTGTAGATGAAGATATCCGTTTATTAACCATCAAATGTGCCGTTTAAAAACACGTTACAAACCAAATGGTACAAATTAGTACCCGTTTTAGACTTGCCGATGATAGTGTCACAGAAAAATGTCTATGGAAAGACAAAATCGCATTATCTTGAACACGATACTCAGCCTATATCAGTTGACATCAGCATAACCAGAGCGCAGAACTGTTATCTCGCATGCGCACAGATGGAGTCTGCCGAGATCAGATCAACTTAATTATAATATATCTTTCACTTTATATCCTTCAGGTGTTGCCGGCGTGTATCGATAAAGCTGACACCGAGACTTGCCATGGCCGCATCAGTCCATGAATATTGATCTAGATCCGATAAAACGCCAATAACTCAGGCATTTTTCTTCCAAATGACGGGACGGATGTCGCTAACTTTTCTTGAGCCCTCAAAAAACACAAAATCCCTCATGAAGATGTTTGCTTTCGACTGACACAGCCGCTCTGGACGCCTCCTGCTAGCGATGTGAGTGAGATTGGTGAACGAATCTTTTTGATTGAATCTTTCAAAACGCTCCAAACGACTCGTTCCCGACTCGGACTGAGCTCTTCTTGATTTCGCTGATAGTAGAGTTTACGAATATTTGACTAACTCTTTGTAAAATACTTTAATAGCCAAATTGCAGAAAAGTTTACCAGTAAAACGTAGGTCTACTGTAATTACGTTTAGGACGACTGATTCAGCTAAAATGTAAATCAATAATCAGGATTTTTAATGTAAATGTAAATTGTGTTTTTATGAGTTGGGTCATTGCAACAAACTGACTGAACTGAGACATTAAACTCTTTTTAATAAAACTTAATACGAGAAAAGCATAATAAACAGCAATGTGTTTATATGTGGCTTTATTGTAACGTTTTAGAGCCACTCCGGGACCACGTGGTGACGTCATTTCGTCATGACGGAAAGAATACCTGAATTGGTTCTTTGAAATGAACTGTTCAAAAGAACCGATTCCCGGAAATGAGTCAGACTTCCCACCACTACCTCCTACCGGAAAGTAAAGGAAAGCGCAGTGCTCCCTCTCATCTGCTGCTGTGACATTACTGCCTCTACAGTCGCTTTGGAAAATAATACCTCTTTTACGTAAAGACAGGCTTTCAAACGCTGAACAACGCAACTTTTACGTGATTTCATGTATATGTAACATCAATAATTGCTCAGATTTAAATGTATTTATATTAATTTATTAAAATTAAATTAAAGAATTTGATGTACAGGGACGACATTATGTTTTTAAACTGTTAAAAAATGCCCCTCCAAAAGTAAAAATGCCTCAGAAAATCAGTTCCAGCGGGCAAATACTGCCACTTTAAAAAAAAAAATGACAGTGGTGATATTCATAATAATTTTACCCCTTGACAAATAATTTGATTCTCTCGTCTTCACACACTACTCTTGCTAGGCTACTGACCCCCCTCAAAAAAGCCCTGCGTACGTACGTCATGACGTACGCAGCGTTGTACGTCATGACGCCATTGCTTCCAGCGCCAGGGAAAAATGGCGGCTGTGCAAGATGGACCGAAGGAGCTAGACGCAGAGAAAGAGACAAAGCCAGAGATTCTCAGCGATGGGACGTCTAACCTCTTGGGGAACACAGCGAGCGGGACGCTGTCCTCATCGCCCCTCACCGCTGCTCCCGCCGGCGGAGCCACGAAGATGGAGGACCAGCAAACTTTGATCGCAGTTCTGCAGTTTCTAAAGCGGAATAAACTGTCGGAGTCGGTGGAGATCCTTCGGCGGGAAGCCGGTTTAGGAGAACATCAGGAGGACTCACAGGCTACCGATGGCAGCGGAGGAGGGAAGGGAGACGGGGATGGAGGGGATGCAAACTCTCTGCTCAGCCGGGTGTCCATCACATCAGCAGCCGCCCCCCAAAGCATGCCCGTAAAGAGTGAGTGTCACCTACAACTTGTAATTGCCGATATTTACCATGCAATGTACCTTTAATACATAAAGTAAAGGTGTACTGCACCTTTTAAATTGTTAAAACAGTGCAAAATCAGCTTTATGCCTTTCTAATGTTTTGCTGTAGTTTGTACAGAAGGTTAGTTGCATCAACAATATAGCCCTCCAAATATTCTTGCTTATGTTTTGTACATTTGAACACTGAGTTTCCAACCTATTTTACTGGCATTCCACATGCACTTTGTGCAGGAAGTTATGGTTAAATTTTTTCTGTAATATATAAGCAGAAAAATAAACATTACTGGAATATAAGTATGTTACTATAATTACTATAAATAATACTACATACATCACAATGTAGATATCAGAATTCTTATCGGTAACTAAAACTGTACAAAACATTTTCATTACTTGTCTTGAAATAAAATTAAGCAGCACAACTGTTTCCGATAATGATAATAAATCAGCATATTAGAATGATTTGTGAAGGATCATGTGACACTGAAGACTGGAGTAATGATGAAAATTCAGCTTTGCATCACAGGAATAAACTACATTTTAAAATATATTAAAATAGAAACCATTATTTTACATTTTAATAATATTTCACATTATTACTTTTCGACTATTTTTGATCAAATAAATGCGCCCTTGATGAGCAGAAGAGACTTCTTTAAAAAATATTTAAAAATCTTACTGATCCCAAACTTTTGAAAGGTAGAGTAGGTATAGACAAAAACAGAATCATTTAAAAAAAATAAAACTAATAAACAAAAACTTAAAAAATGCACAATTACTACAATTTTGAATAAAATTGAAATTAAAAATATAAAATTAAAAATTTACAAATTTATTCTGTATATTAATAAGCTTTAGTAGAATCCCAATACAAAAAAATACATGGGTATATATTTAGTACTATATATATATATAAAGGCTATATGTGTGTGTTTGTGTGTGTGTGTGTGTGTGTGCATATGTGTAGGCCTGTCGCAATAATCAATATATCGACTTATCTCACAATATATGTACATGACTTCAATCATTTTTGGTGACGCAATATATCGCCCATTATATTTACATAAAAATTAATGTCACCATGTTTTTTGCATTCTACTTGCGCCTGTGTCTTTTGCAGGTTCTCGTACATAACGTGGTGTAGTTCAAATTTTAAAAATGCTTCTACAAAAAAGTTTCATCTGCAGATATGGCCTTGTTTAGGGATCTGTGCCTTTGTGCATACGGACATCTGACTGCTAAGTAGGGATTGTGTTTTTCAGCAATAGTGTGCACCCTTAATTTACAGAGAAAAGAAGGTCAGGGAAAATCTGTAGATGAAAAAATCTCCATACAAGTTATTCGTGAATTTTTCTTTTTTTCTACTTGTTTGCACTTTTTGTTAGAAAATGTTTATTTACTATTTATTCAAGTTTTTTAAGGTATCTAATATTTTGATACTTAATTTCCATGATGTAAATATTCTTAAGAATTAAAAGTTTGTTGTCATTTGGAAGTGTGTTGGCCTTCTTGCATTATTATGCTTTTGTACTATGATTATATATTCAGTGGCATAAAATGGTCTTAAAATGACAATAATATTGTTTATCGCAATTATTTCAGGGGCAATATATTGCACAACAAAAAGTTGTTATCGTGACAGGCCTACATATGTGTACATATCTTATGTCTTTTAGGGATGCACTGAATGTTCGGCAACTGAAATTATTCAGCCGAAAATAGCAAAAAAAAAGCTATAAGAATAAGCGAAAAGACCAAATAAATTGTACCGAACAATGACGTGACTCTATCAAATAACAACCAGCGTAAAGTGAGAGGCGCGCACTCTTTACAATGCAACAAACATGTCAGCAGTGTGGAAGCATTTAAACTGTCAGAGAAAGACGCAAAAATCATTACAAGCACCGACAGCGAGAGACTGTTTAGTGCTGCATCGCATGTCTTTGATGAGAAGAGGAAGGGTGGTTGTTGCTGGTTTGCTGTATGATGATTGAAATCGTGAAATGGCCTTAAACCATTATTAAATAAACTGCAGAACGTTATGTTTTCTAATTTTGTATGAAACTTTTATTAAACAAAATCACCAAATGTTGATTTATTTAGTTAATATATGAAAATATAATTTAGAAAAACAAAATATTTATTTAGAAAAATTTTCATAATTTATGTTTAATTGTCTAATATTTCTTAAAATATTTTTTGTTAAAGGGATAGTTCACCCAAAAATGAAAATTCTATCATTAATTACTCACCCTCGTGTCGTTCCAAACCCGTACGAGCTTCGTTCATCTTCGGAACACATATTAAGATATTTTTGAAGGAATCTGAGAGCTCTCTGACCCTCCCATAGACAGCAAGGGTCCTTACACGATCAAGGCCCAGAAACATAGCAAGGTCATCGGTAAAATAATCCATGTGACATCAGGGGTTCAACCGCAATTTTACGAAGCTACGAGAATACTTTTTGTGCGCAAAAGAAAGAAAAAAAATAACGACTTTATTCAACAATTCGTCTCCTCCGTGTCACCCTGTAGCGCCATTTTGGAGAGTATCCACTGAACGTAAATTGCGTATGCTATTTTGTGTCAGCTGCGCCACGCGGATACATTGTTTCCATTCAGATCAAAGCGTAAATTACGTAAACAGCATATCCGCGTGAGGAGGAGACGAATTGTTGAATAAAGTCGTTTTTTTTTCTTTTGCGCTCAGAAAGTATTCTCGTAGCTTTGTAAAATTACAGTTGAACCCCTGATGTCACATGGATTATTTTACCGATCTTATTGCTATGTTTCTGGGCCTTGCTGTTAATAGTGTTCATCGTCTGTTTGATAACGTCTTTAATTGATTACGTCTTTAACTGATTTTTCCGTACATTTCTGCCATATGTACATTAACTGACAGTCACCACTGATAAACT